TAGTAAGGGAGAAAGGGGGGAAATGGGGGCACCTTAAGTGGGAAAACCATGATGGAGGGGTGAGACAATGTGAGAGATAAACACTGCCTAGCTAGTTTTGAAAATCAGAGGGAACCATATTACCCTTACAACCTACTGACAAATTATACACAGCAGATCAAGAAATATATATCTAGGTAAGGTTTTCCGGAGAACAATTGGTCTTTGCCCAAGATTTATTTACATGACACACAGTAATTAAAATTACCAGACTGGTGGAACTAACCTTCTTGGATGTTTAACAGACATGCTTTGAGCCCTATAATAATTTGGTCAGAGGGACATAAAGGACAGTTTTTGCTCCTTTCCCTCCTAGGTGGACTAGGTACAGGGGACTATAAGTATCTCTCAAAATGTCCTGTAATTGTGGTGGGTCACCTGTCAGCTGAGGAGACCCCACTAGATGGACTTGAACCAGTGTCCAGTCTACAAAGAGGAGGGTCAACACAGAGGAATCATTTCCTCCATGCTTCTAAGGGAAGCCAACCATGGTCGAGCAGGACCTTTGACTTATCTTCACATAGGAGGAACTGGTAAAAGAAAGGAGCCAGGGGCTCCTCTCAAGCCCATGTGACCCCTGAGGGACAGATACTCAAATGACCTTAAGAGTAAAAATAAAGTGGTTTATCTGGGCCATCTGTATGACCTTAAACACCCAAAAGGAAAATATAACCAAAGATTAAAGGGCCAATATAATTTCTTAAGAGCCCATATGTATAGCTAAAGGCTACATAACAAGCAACAATGCCAGACAGGCGATACCTTCTTTTGAGTTGTTGGCCAGGGTTGCCAAAGGGACTCCCAGATAGTAACCCAGCATAGAACTGGGAAAATGAACAGCAGACCCCAATCTTATCCAAAGGAATATTGACAACTGATTACTGCTAAATGAGGAACAGCTTACCCTCCTAAAACAATGACCTCTAGATAGGCTGACTAGATTCACCAGAAGGGCAAGTAGTGGGGAATGGCTCGGGGTGCTGACAACACAGCAGACAGTAGCAGGGATATCAGAGTATAAGGGCTCTAGTGGGGGGAAGGGAAGCT